AGTAGAACTTTGAACGACGCCCAAATCAACTATGCGACGACCGAGAAGGAATTGCTAGCTGTGGTTTATGCATTCGACAAATTCAGATCGTATCTTGTTGGGTCTAAGGTCATCATCTACACAGATCATGCCGCTCTAAAGTATCTTATGACAAAGAAGGATGCTAAGCCGAGATTGATCCGCTGGATATTGTCGTTGCAAGAGTTCGATATTGAGATCAAGGATAAGAAGGGTAGTGAAAATGTGATAGCCGACCACCTATCAAGATTGGAACGGGATGAACCTGAGATGTCAGTTGACATCAATGAAATATTTCTAGATGAGCAAATTTTTGGAGTAGAAATAGACCCATTGTACGCTGATATTGTTAACTACCTTGCTAAGTCCATCCCGCCACCAGAGTATTCTAGCCATCAAAGAAAGAAGTTCTTCGCAGAGCTGAAGTATTACTTTTGGGAGGATCCTATTCTCTACAGAAGAGGCGCAGATCAGATAATCAGAAGATGCATTCCTGAAGATGTAATACCTGAGATTCTAGAACATTGTCACTCTTCTGCATATGCTAGGCGTTTTGGAGCTTCAAAGACCTGCAAAGATACTACAGTCGGGTTTCCATTGGCCTACTTCATTCAGACACATTCGAGTATGTGAAGAGATGTGATAAATGCCAACGAATCGGAAATATCTCAAGAAGAAATGAGATGCCACTAAATTATATCTTGGAGGTTGAAATATTTGATGTATGGGGAATAGACTTCAAGGGACCTTTTCCCCCATCGTACTCAAATCAATATATCTTGGTGGCCGTTGACTATGTCTCTAAGTGGGTGGAAGCTATTGCATTGCCTACTAACGATTCAAAAGTGGTGATAGAGTTCTTGAAGAAGTACATATTTACAAGATATGGTACACCGAGGGCGATAATAAGTGATGGGGGCAAACACTTCATAAATCGTCAATTAGAGCAGCTGTTAAACAAATATGGGGTGAAACATAAAGTAGCAACTCCATATCATCCACAAACCAATGGGCAAGTTGAAGTTTAGAATAGGCAGTTAAAGAGAATACTGGAAGTTACAGTGAACTCATCCCGAAAAGATTGGTCTATGAAGTTGGACAATGTACTGTGGGTTTACAGAACAGCGTTTAAGACACCAATAGGAATATCTCCATACCGCCTGGTTTTTGGGAAAGGGTGTATCTACCATTGGAGTTGGAGCATCGAGTATATTGGGCTATGACAAGTTGAATATGGATCTCAAGGCTGCTGGTGAAAAACGACTGCTGCAACTTAATGAATTGGATGAGATCAGAATGGAAGCTTACGAGAACTCAAAGTTGATCAAGGAGCGCACCAAGAGATGGCATGATTTAAACATTCAGAGGCGAGAGTTTGAAGTTAGCCAGAAAGTGTTATTGTACAATTCTAAACTCAAACTCTTCCTAGGAAAGCTAAGAACAAGGTGGTCGGGTCCCTATACCATAAATAGGGTGATGCAATATGGGGCTATTGAAGTGAATCACGAGACCAAAGCCACTTTCATTGTCAATGGGCAGAGACTAAAACATTATTGGGGCTGTAATTTTCCTAAGCAGAAGTCCATTGTGCAACTCAACAACACAACGTGAAGAAGATACAGGAAAGTCGAGCTATCGATTATAAACTAGCGCTGGGTGGGAGGCAACCCACTGTATCCTTCAATTTATTTTATTGCATTTGTTTAGAAACTTGTTTACATTTCGTATGTTTTATTAGGTCATCGATCATTCACGCATGATAGTCTAGGCACTACACGTTTATAGTTGCATGAGTCGGGGTTAAAGAAATTGTTTTGGGTGTTTGAGTGTGAAGTAAAGAATTTCGTGGTTCAAAGTCGTTCGTTTTATTTTTCGAGATGTTTTTCAAAAAAAATTCGAAAAATGGCGAGTCGAGTCAATTTTGAAATTAAAAACCAATTTCGGGGGATTTTTAAATTTCAAGGTGTGTTTGGGGTTATAATTGTAAGTTTGCTTTAGTTTGAAAAAAAAATAAAAAAAATAAATAATAAATAAATAATTTTTGGCTTGGTCCATGTGCCTTACCGAACCAACATTGGTAATAATAATAATAATAATAATTTTGGGTTTTGTCCATGCGGTCGCATGGACCCTGACCGAACATAAATTGGGGAAGACCAAGTACACCATGCGGCCGCATGGTGTCTAAGTGACGGGTTCTAAACCCGTCACTTGCAAATCCACCCCAAACCCTTCCCAAAACACCTCCACACGAACACATACTTCTCCCTCCCCCCAAATCCACCTTCACACACAACATCAATCACCAACACTCTTGCAAATCTTCACCCTAACACCACACTATTCACATCATTGGCATTTTTATCAAGAATTGTGAAGCATAATTATCCACTTTCCCTTCACAAAGATCTCAAGGTGAGAAATTTAATTTCTATGCAAAGTTTAAAGTTCTTCTTTGATTTCATGACATTTTCGAATTGGGTAAGTGTTGAATTGTGATTTGTGGACTAGCTCTAAGTGTAAATCAAAAACAAAGTGAAGAAAATTCTCAATGCACACAACGTGTTCGATTAAACGTCAATGAGACATATGATTCGAAATTTTGAACTTTTCATTTGTGTGATGATTTACATTGTTAATGTGAGGCGTACTTGACGAGAAATCTCATGGAATTTCATTAGAAAACATTAGCCTCACATATTTGTGCACATAAACACATAATTGCTAAGCCATGTCCACTCACGTCACTAACTTCGTCTATGTATTTTCCTTACCAAACGACCTCCGATTGTTGTGAAATTTGGATATATGCTAGACCACAATGAGTACTTTCATATGTCCGGACATTGTCCGGGGAAATTTTAATATTTCTCGGTGATGTTCGGGGCTGAAGTTGGTCACTTAATCATGGGTCGAATTTAAAAAAAAAAGTGCATGTTAGAGCCATAGTTTTGAGTTTTTCTCATTAATGCAATTTTGATGTTACATTAACTTCCATGCGTTGAATATTGAACACATTTTGAAGAAAGTTTGGGGGATTTTTGCATGACAATGATATTCTTTATCGTTTTCTTATTTCAAGAACTTGATACACTTTGTTCCTTATTTGTGTAGGATGCCGCCGAAGAGAACATCAAAAGGTAAAGAAAAAGTTGGTTCCTCCTTCGGCATAGCCCGCACCAGAGAGCTAATAGGAGGTGTGCGAAGATTCCGTGATGCAGAAACATTAGCTCGATATGAGAACATAATACGCCATTGGGGCATGATACCAGAGAGACAGGTCCGATTAGATGATTTTCGTGGTTTTGAGTTGACAAATTTGATACAAATCTGTGGATGGGAGAAGATTGTAGAAAAGCCACACCCGATTTATAAAAGTATAGTCCGCGAATTTTATGCAAACTTCAATAGTGAAATTGAGACTCCGGATTTTGAACACTTACACCAGACGTGGGTGCGAGGTAAGTGGATAATGTTCTCCCCAGCCGTCATTCATGACTTCTACAATCTTAAATCGGACAATGTGGTCCCGATTCCCACTCAATTCAATTGGAATGAAGTGGCGAAGGTTCTCTTGAGAAGAGAAAATGCTTGGCCCCTACCCACTGCAGAGTGGCATCAAATTGAGCTTACTCCCTCCATAGCCATCCTCTGGGTCTTCATGTGCCATAATATCGAACCCACATCGCATCGGACAACTTTCACGGATCAAACTGCTGGGTTCATATATCATTTAGTCCGGGGATGCAAAGTTGATTTGGCTACTCTTATCTTGACCAGATACAAAATTTGGGAACCTGGGGAGATAGGCGGTCTTCGATGATCTTCCCTAGTCTGATTAGCGGGATATGTCTTACCGCCGGTGTTATAGTTGAGGCAGGGAAAATGCCTGATAAATCAAGCCCATTGATAAAGCTCACTACATTTGAAGCTCAGGAACGAGCTAAGGTAAGGAAGAGAGAACAAGACAGACTTGAGCAGCAAAGACATAATGCGCAGGAAGAAGAACAAGCAGCTGAAGATGTACAATTACCACAAGCCCCGCCACAACCAGTTGAGATGGATTCGCAACTACTTCGACAGATATTTGCCACAGCTACTGGAACTAGCAGGGATATACTAAATCTCCAGCAGAGGTTTGAAACGATGACCACCACTGTTGAAAAAGTGCAGAGAGACCTCTACTCTTCCCGAGACTACACAAAACGTGCTTTGAATGAAGTCACAGCTGCAAGAAGGGAAGTAAAGACTATGAATGGTAGGTTCAACATGTCCGCTGGAAGAATGGATGGCATACAGTGGCGTGTGAACGAACCTGGGATCGCTTGGAAAATATGGAAAGTAGTCTTCAAGCCATTCAGGCTGAGCAAGCACAGCAGTCCGAGTTGCTGAGATAAGTCCTATCTCGCCTCCCACCTCCTCCTAAAGATGATGCTGCGGGTCCCAACTTCACACCACAGCCACCGAATTGATCAGGGGAGTTTTGTTAATCTCTTATTGCCAAGTTGTGTCCATGTTTTAAATTCTGTCATTTTAACTTTACATTTTACATTGAGGACAATGTATTGTATAAGTTTGGGAGATGGTAGCATAATTTCAAACAAATATTCGGCATGTAATTATTTTGCATATTCACAATCCATCGTTAATTTTGACAAGTTTTTGCATGATGCATGCATGCTTGATGAGTGAGTCTTGATGAAATTTTGCATGCTTGTGTGGGTTTGGTAGCCTTGCCGGCTATGATGTGATTATTGGACATGTATAAGCTAGAAACTATGGATTTAGTACAGGATTTAATTTGCTAATACTTGTTGATGCAGTGCTTGACATTCTTTTGCACGCCACTCATGCTTCACGTGTTAAGTTATTGATTGAAATTTTAGAATAAATTAGGAGAAACCTAGAATAACCCTCTATAATATTAACCCGTAATACCACTTTAAGATAATTTGGAGATGATTGAGCCATTGTAGGGGAACATGGAGATAAGTGGGGGCTCCGTGCATGAAATTATAATGTGTGGATTAGTTAAACCCGGAAGGTGAGAAATAGGTGAAAACTTTAAGTGAGGATTGTTTTGGAAGTCAAATGTCTAGAAAAACAAAGAAGGGGTATAAAGTAAAAAGTGGAAAATTATCACTTCTCTCAAAAAGCCTTTATGACTCGAGCAAGTAAGTCTGTAAGGGTTTAAAACCTGATGCTCTAATACCAACTGGTTTGGGAGTCATCGGCCTAAAGCTCGTTACAAGGGTCATATAGAAAGCAAGAAAAATGAGAATTGATAAAAAGTCATCTTATCAAGCCTTTATAACTCGAGTGAATAAGATTGCAAGGGTTTAAAACCTGGTGCCCTAAAGCCAACTGGTTTGGGAGTCATCGCCTAAAGTTTGTTACATGGGTTATATAGAAAGCAAATGAAAAGATGACACAAAAAAAAACAAAAAAATAATAAATAAATAAAATAAAAGCCCTCGTTGGACATTTGGTTGATAGAACTATAACCTCAATGCGAGGCAAGTAGCTTAGTTTAATCCTAAAGGTTGAAGCAATCAAAATAAGGAGAGTCTCTACTCGTTGATATGTGAACTTGTAATGGTAAAATCTATCCAAACTAAGAGAGGGTAAGAATTAGAATTGTTTAAACTCCTAACCTTAGAATACACCCGGAGAAATTGTGTGAAAAGAATACATTTGGGGATTGTGTATCTCTCGAGTGACGTAAGGATAAATTTGACCACTATGGGTCGGAAATAAACTAATCATAAGCTTGATATGTTGGCATGAGTTCACACACACACGTTGAGCATTGCATTTGATGAGTAAAGGTTGATTCAATTCTTGCACTCTTGATATTGTTTCTATTATTATTACTAAGTCCAATCCTGAGACACGGCAAGCTATTAAGCCATGTTTGTTTAGCATTAAGTCACTACATTGTTTGAGGACAAACAATAGTTTAAGTTTGGGGGATTTGATAAGTGTGTTTTTACACACTTATTTAGCTCACAAACATGATTTAAATATGGACAAAGTAGTTGAATTGTGACTTAATCTCGTTAAATTCATGCAATGTAGGTGTTTCTATGGAAAAGATGAAATTCAGAAGAAAAGAGCCGAAAAGGACCAAAACGGAACAAAGCGATAGTTCGGGGACCAGAAGTGCAAATATTGAAAAGTTGAGCTAAAGTGCAGAATTAGAATGAAAATATACCAAGTATGAGATTGAGGATGATACAAGACGATCGAAGGAAGAAAGAAGTAACATTGGACTGAATTGAAGAAAAGTGAAAGATGAAGGACTAAATTGCAATTGATCAAAAGATGAGCCGAGCAATTGATCAAGGAATTGATTAACCCAAACATCAATTAGGAGTTAGTATTTGATAATGGAACAAAGGAAAGAAAGAAAAGAGATCAAGTAAGGAGAAAACGGAGTTCAGGGACCAAAATAGCAAGGTTGTAAAGTTACAACCTTGCGGTCGCATGTAACTATACCATGCGGCCGCACATGAGGAGGCAGGGATGTTATTGGGGCATATCACTTGAACCAAGCGGCCGCATGGCTTGAAAATTTAACGAAAATTCTGAACTTCCGTTTTTAATTGAAACTCTTTTGGGGTTCCGTGAGGGCATGGTATAAAAGTCAAAATTCATCAGAAATAGGGCAGAACGTCCAGGGAGAAGAAAAATATAACTTTTGGAGGCAAGAAACACGAACTTGAAGTCGATTTCACAAGAATTCAAGCGGGTTTTCAAGGTTTTATTCAAGATTTCTAGAATTTTCATACGGGTGCTATTCTTTCTATTTATTAATTTCGTTTTTTTTTAATTATGAATCTTCTAGGCTAGGTTTTCAATTACTAGGTGATCGATGAACCATTGTTTGTTATTTTAATTCCATATTTCATGAATTTAATATAAAGACTCGTTTGGATAATTTGATTGGTTTATATGCATTAATTTTTTTCCACAATTAGTGGTCAATGATTGTGTGAGTGTTGATGACTTGCTTCTTACATTCGAGAGAAGTGGAATAGGTTTGATAAGGTGTAAATCAACATAGGGTCCGATAGAGGATAGAGATATACCCCTATGTTTTATGCAATTCTTCAATTGTTCACAAAATCACATGCATTTTTGTATATTTGCATCATCCATAGAGATATAGGCTAGTGGTGTGCAAGAATAGGTCTAATATATATAGAGAGAATATATTGGATAGAATTAGGAACATTGAATTGGCAAATTTCCATCGAGTCATTAATTTTATGAAATTAGGGTTTTTATAACTTCAATTGGGGATTCGTGATCCTAGTGACTTTAGTTTGATTCATTTCCATAAATTAGCTTTTGAATTTGCATAATTTCATTTACTTGAGTGTTTGAATCGTTTAATTACAGAAATTTCGAAATTAGGGTTTCTAATTGAGAAATTAGGATTTTCAATAAAAATTAGGGTTTTTAGTTGAAATTAGGGTTTTTAATTGAAATTAGGGCTTTTTACATTTAAACCATATTTTCACTCAATTAGATTCGGTTAAAGCTAGATTATATAGAATTGAACTACTCAATCTCTGAGGGACGATATTCGGACTTTTTAAAATTCACTTTATTACTTGTTACGAACTGTACACTTGCGGTAATTTTAAATCGAAAGAATTATTTCGTGAACAAAGGCCTCCGAGCCAAACCCAAAGTTTGCAAGAATGTAAGAATCTATTTGGTTTGTACTTCAGTTTTCAGTTTTGAATTCATTTTCAATTTTCTGTTTTGAGGGTTTTTTTAAGATTGTTAAAAATGTGTTTGATTTGTCATTTTAGAAAACTATTTCTCAAAATAAAAATTAGAAAAGACGTTTGATTTGAAATTTTGAAAAAATATTTTATGACATTTAATTTCATTATAATTGATTAATTAATAAAAATAGAACTATTTTATTTTAATTTATTATCAAGTAATATATACAATTTAAAGTTGATAAATCTTACAATATTTTTTCTCCCTACAAAAGTTAAACAAAAATAAATAATAAATTGAGTTCAAGATATAGAAAATAAAAATAAAAATTAATAACGTCAACTTATAATTTTTTATTTGTGTTCATTTAAATATTTTTTTAGAATTTCAAATTTTTAATTTATTTTTTATTTATTAAAAAATTAATTTTTAAATTTATTTAAACACTTGTTTTCCCCGCGTTTCAGAATTTTCACTAAAAAAACTCAAAACGTCAAAACTGCGTTTTAAGTTTTATGTTATAATTTTAAGCTTGTTTTAGGAAATGTATTTTTCGAAATATCATATAAAAAACTTTTCAGTATTTTGCAAAATTGAAAATTGAAAATAGCAAACCAAGCGCACCTTAAGTTTTTCAAAGTATCATAGGTAACAATGTCAACGACTATAATTTACATGAAAGAACAAACAGAATGTCCCATTGTCCCATGTCATGTGACTCGCTTCTTAATCCCTGAGATACAACAAATTGAGGAAACTATTGGGACGATAATTCAAGACATTTCCTGCCCTTATTAATTAAACTGCTTATTAGCACAAAACATTCTTACATTTAGTCTTTAATGTGCAAAACGTTCCCACATTTCAATTTTTGTATTTTCAATCATTTTTTCATGTTTCATTGTGAAAAACGTCATTTTAATCCATTTTTATTCAATTTCTCAATTAAAAATTGTAAAATGACAAATATATAAATTTTTATTTAAAATAAAAGAAAAATAAAGAACAAACTGCTATCATGCTCTCCATTTTTTCAAAAAAGTACAAATAAATCACAAATAAATTAAATTAAAAATAAAATCAAAATCAAAAGTTGATTTTGCTTCGTTGTATATGCCTAGATGGGAATGAATTGGCTGCAAATAAGGGGTATCCTTTTACATCTGCACAAAGGAAGGAACTAGAAAGACAAGCCATGATCTATAACTACATGATGGCATCTATGCCTATGCCTCCTGATCTTCCCTTTCATGCACAATCAAACCTTTCAATTTCCTGTAAATCGGCTCTTCTTTTTCTTCGATGATTTGTTTATTTTACACTTCTGGTACTCGATTAGATGTGGATTTTAAACAGTTGTTTCTTTGTATTAGTGTTTGAGTGTAGTGACTGGTCATCTCGAAAGGTGCAAGCAACGGATGGCGAGAAATGGAGGTGCTCAAGAGATGTGCCCCATGACAAATACTGTGAGTGCCAGAAAAGGCCTTCCTGTTCAAGAAAGCCTGTGGAAATCAAGAACAATGCCACCGGCAATAACGAGAAGAAAAGCCCCCTTTTGTTTAATCCGAAAACTGATCTGTATTTCTACATCCTCCGGTAAGAAAATATGAGATGTTAGTTTTTAGTATTTCTACATCCTTTTAGAATCTCTCAATCTATTTCCTGGGTCGTTTTATGGTGGGGATGAGGAAGTAGAAGATTATTTTTCTATTTTATTTTTATTTTTTATCTAGTTTATTTGAGTTTCGAAAAACATGCAAAATCATCATTAGAACCATCACACTTGTGGACCATCGATGAACTAATTGGTTATTTGTACTTTTTTGAAAAAATTGAGAGTATGATTACAATTTATTCTTTATTTTTCTTTTGTTTCTTTTTGTTTTATTTAAATAATAGGGCATGTTTATCATTTTATAATTTTTATTTGAAAAATTGGATAAAATTTGATGAAATGACTTTTTTTCATAATAAAATGTGAAAATAGGGGTGAAAATGCAAAAATTGAAATTTAGGGATGTTTTTATACTAAAGGTCAAACATAGGGACATTTTGTGACTATTAGATGCACACACACAAAAATGACCACAATGGATCCATTATTAAGTCGCAAATTTTGCATTGCAGTGTGATATATAATGTAGCAAATAATGCAACCTTTTAATCGTAATGTACCAAATGATAATTCACTCTTATCAAATTCCCTAAATCAATGTTACTTATTGTGTAATCCAAAACAGAAAATAATGAAACTCTTCAAACAATTGGCACAAGATTCACAACTTCATTGCAACCTTTCTATCCAAATAATTTTGTATGGGAAACAAATCCAGATTTTGAAATGTAACACATTAAGACGAAAACATCGAGTTTTGTTTAACCTGTTGGTAGACGTGACATTTCAATGTCCTCTTAATCCATTAGAGAAAAATAATAGAACCTCCTAACAATTGGTTCACAAGTAATGCACACAATAAGAGATGTAACAAACAAATTTATCAAGTGAGACATCCGTATTGTAGTAATCTTTGAAATCGAAGCAATCAACTCAACATTTCATTAAAAAAAAAAAAGGAAAATTGCCAACTTTTTCTTCCAGGAGCCAAGCCAACGGATACAATTTGATAAGTTCAGCAGATTAAGATCACGGATTTTGCTGGTTTATTGGATAAAATGGAGTAATCAATTGATTTTTGATTGTTTACCTTTTTTTTGTGGAGTCGATACCTAAAATGAAGTCTTCATGGATTCCTGTTATTATTAAAAAATAAAAAAAAATATTTAGAATGCAGTATTTTTTGAAGAAAAAAAGTTTAAATAGTAGTTTGGAAATTCTTTATTTTATTCGCTTTTATGTGTAAATTTCCCATATTTTAATTAGATTGCCATGGAATACATTTTTAAATATAATTTGTATTATCTAAAATTTATTTGTTTAAAAGTTAAAATATGGTACATTAATATATGAAATATAATAAAGAAATAAGAAATACCATAATTTCTTGTATTATCTTAAATTATTTTTTTCCTTTTTAAATTTCATTTTCGTAATATATTATTGGACATTAACAAATGAAAAATAATAAAAACATAATATTATAAGTAAAAGATGAAATATGAACCGTTCAAAAAGTTTCTTCAAATTATATAAAAGATTATAGGTGAGAAAATTATATATATTTGATGTTTAGCTATAAATTAATCAGGTTATTAAAGCATATTTCAGCTTCCTTATAAGCTGAATTTAGAATTTTTGAAAAAGCTCCAAATTAGAGCTTTTGGGGGGTGGGGGGATGTTTAAAGTTTTGTCATGTTCCATTAATAAAATCTGCACAAGAGAATGTTTCAATACGAAGTTTAATCCTTTTTCTATTAACAATTTAAAGATTTTAGATGAGATGGTCGATAGCTCGGCGATTCCAGCAAAAATAGTAACCAAAAGGAGGTGTAAATTCAACTAGAATTCCCCATATATTCATTTCCATCAAAACATCGAACAAACAAAAACTGTACATTATTAGTTTAACATGACAAAGATGCCAAAATTTAAGCACCCAACACTAGCAACTCTATAAACACCAGAATACAACTATCAGAATCTCAAGGCCTAAATTCCGGCTTGAACATTCTGTTATGTTTGGCTTCTACCCCTTCATTATCCAACAAAGGATAAGTATATGACCCCGTCTTCCCTTGCTTCAGACAACATGGTATGAAGTGAAACTTAAGCGGTCTACGTCATAACTGCTTGTCTGTTGCTATCTTGTGTCTTTGTCGATTCTTCAGGTCTCTCTGTGCTAATCTTGACGTCATTCTCATCTTTCATTAGGTAATTGTCAACTTGTGCAGCTGCTTGTCGGCCTTCCGAAATTGCCCACACGACCAGAGATTGACCACGGCGGCAATCTCCAGCAGCAAAAATCCCTTCCACATTGGTTGAGAAGCGTCCATATTCTGCTTTGAGGTTGGACCTATTGTCCCTCTCCAAGCCCAGTTTGTCAGGTAGAGTCTGCAAAAACCGAGGAAAATAATAAAAGCCACGTGAGAATTTCACAACATTGAGTCAAAGCATGTTTAAATGAATTATTTTCAACTCGGACCAATAAAATAATTATTAAATTTAAACCTCACTTATTTACGGGTAAGTAAACTTTTTAAGCTTAGCCAAACATGCTGCAAAACTTGGGCCTAGCAAACCAACCCACAAAGTAGAGGAAAAGAGAAGCAAAAAGAAGACGGAGAGGATATAAAATTAATGACATTGTCAATGTACAGGAGCAAATCCAAGCTAAAGTTCAGAATACTAACTGATTCAGGCCCGAGGAATCCCATGGCTAGTAAGACTAAATCAGCTTCAATGATCTCCTCACTGCCTTCAACTTCTTTAAATGAAAACTTCCCAATTGCATCCTTCTCCCAATGGACACGCACAATCTCCAGTCCTTTCACCACTCCATGCTCATCTCCAACAAACCGCTTTGTCATAACCTCATAAGACCTAGGATCCTTGCCAAACTTCGATGCAGCTTCTTGATGCCCATAATCTACACGGAATATGCGGGGCCACTGCCAACATTCAACAGATGAAAATTAATTAATGATGTCAAGAAAGAGAGGGGAAGTGCAGACAAATTTCATATTTTAATTTTCTTTATCTTGGTAGAATTATATTAAACTTCCAAAATTCAGAATCTGCATTTTAAACAATAGGCATCAAATACAAGTCTACTTGTATACTTACATAAATAAATACACCATGACCAAATAGGTGATGACACAAGACAACCACAAAAGAAAAGAATACCATTTTTACCTAAGACATACAGAATTTGGAATAAACAAGTCTACAAAAGTTATATTTGAGCATGTTTGGCAAAGCGTAAAAATAAGACTTACATTTTAAAGTACGATTCTTTCCAAACAAGCTTGGATAACTTATTATTCTCTTAGTTATAAGTAAAAAGTTACTTATTTTGACAGTAGTTTACTTGCTTATTTCCAATTTCCACCAACAAAACATTATTTGTTCTAGAACAAACTTATTTACTTAGCCTATGTTTGCCTCGTGATTATAAAACACTCAAGCCACTATTTATCTACACATTTCAACGGAACAAGTACTACCCACTCATCCACCGTCATTTATGAACACTTCGCAAACATTCTTTTAATTAACCATAGATAAAGTTAACCATAGAGATACTGACTGGTTAAAAATACAGTCAGGTCCAACCTGAGGCCAAGGGTTTCCAGCTGCTCGAGTTCGTGGTGGCTCAGGGAGAAGCTCTAGATTTACGATGCTGCTGCAACCATGTCTGATAGATGTTCCAATACAATCTGTACCGGTGTCACCCCCACCAATTACCACTACCTTCTTGCCCTTGGCAGAGATGTAATTACCATCCTTAAGATTGCTATCGAGCAAGCTTTTCGTATTAGCATGAAGAAACTCCATTGCAAAATGGACTCCAGACAGTTCTCGTCCAGGAACAGGGAGGTCCCTGCCAAATTATTCCAGAATATCTAGTAAGATTACTGACAAAATTGTAAAGTTATGCAATAAGAATAGCCTGAAAATAATATTGCTCACCTTGGCTTCGTGGCTCCTACAGCCAAAACAATAGCATCATGATCCTCACGAAGCTGATTAAGCGAGTATGCAGGATCCTTCCCAACATTAGCATTTACCACAAAGTTTACACCTTCCTTTTCCATGAGGTTAACCCGTCTTTGGACAATATCGACTTTATCGGCCTTCATGTTAGGCACCCCGTACATCATAAGACCACCAATTCTGTCGGACCGCTCAAACACGGTCACAGTATGACCCATTTTATTTAACTGGTCAGCAGCAGCTAAGCCAGCAGGCCCACTTCCAATAATGGCAACTTTTTTCCTGTAATAGGGAACATGATTAGGATCTCATGCTACAAATCCAAGATATACACGTGCCTAAGCAACAAAGTGAAGTACAACATATTCACGGAAAACATACTCAGTTCTCTTCAGGGGAGGTCGTGGCACCATCCATCCCTCCTCAAAAGCTTTGTCTATTATAGCACACTCCATGCTTTTGATAGAGACGGGATTCTCGATAATACCAAGGACACAAGCCCCTTCACAAGGTGCAGGGCATACCCGGCCCGTGAACTCAGGAAAGTTATTAGTCTCCATGAGCCTATCCAATGCTTCATGCCATCTATTTTGGTACACCAATTCATTGAATTCAGGAATTTTATTTCCAAGAGGGCATCCAGAATGCTCCTGCAATTTTATATGACACATGTATCCTAAGCAACAAAATTCAATATTACATATCAATCATGCTAGTAAGAAATCTTGCTAAAATCTATCTTACCTGATGACAAAAAGGAGTGCCACAGTCCATACAACGAGCAGATTGTGTCTTCAGAAGTGGGCCAGGTCTTAATTCTTCCATAACTTCTTTCCAGTCATTCATCCGAATACTAGGTTCTCTGTACGAAATGCTCTCTCGCTCATAGGCAACAAAACCTCGGTGCTTCACAGCATTTGGAACCCTAGTAGGTCTCTTCGATTGTTTGTCCTCCTCAGCCTGTTGATTTTTCAAAAAGTCAAGAACGAACCCAAAAAAAATACGGAAAAAAAAAGTCTAGTACAGACCACACATGACGTTATACTGCCATTACATTAACTACCATCTATATACAAGACGTCATACTGCTATTCCAGTACAGATATTACCTAACATCAGAAGTACCCAGAAATATTCTATATATGTGCTTCAAATAAATGAGCATACATAATGTGTTGATAGATTATTAGGTATATAACAGTAGAACAAGTTAGGACGGGCAGACGAAAATTAAGAAGGTCTTCTGAGGTTGCTAAGCATATCCAGCAATGAACATATCGGAGCTAAAAAAAGGATTCTTGTAGCAGAATCCAAGCTTATTGGAAACAAGGCTTAGTCTGTTTTTGTAGTATTCTTTGGTTTCAATCATTAGTTATTGCACCAAGGATGATGCCATTTCATCAAAAAATTCTCTAACTAGCGCAAAGTGCAAACAATATAGCTGCATGATGAACAATGACCGAAGATAATTACCTGACAGTCTTTTTCATTCAAGGATGTAGCTGCCAGCTTCTTAAGCTCTTCAAAAGCATCTTTCTCCATCAACTCTTCCTCTTCCTGCACCTCAGCTTCTTTGGCAGCATGTTCAGCAGCTGCTTTTGCAGATTCTTTTTCTTGTGTGCTTGCAAGAATTTGTTTGTAATCTCGAGGGAAAACCTTGATAAATTTAGGCAAAAGAGTCTCAAAATCAGCAAGCACTTCTTTAGCTAGTTCACTGTTAGTGTGACGTAAATGCTGTTGTATCATCATTCTGAGTGTCATAATATCATCTACTTCTACTGGATCAAGATCAACCAACTCAAGATTGCATCGAGATCTGAACATGGAATCCATGTCGAGAACATAGGCAATGCCCCCACTCATTCCAGCAGCAAAGTTTCTACCTGTCTTTCCCAGCACAACAACAATTCCACCAGTCATGTACTCACATCCATGATCACCCACACCTTCCACAACTGCTTTGGCCCCTGAATTGCGAACACAAAATCTTTCAGCTGCCATCCCATTAAAGTATGCCTCTCC